CAACAGCAGGAAGTCTGCTAACTGAATGTGTAATGCAATCTGTCATTAGCATTCCCAGAGTTCCCTCTGCAACATAGTTGTATCAGCTGTTGGTCCTGTCTGTACATCTGTTATTTTCCCACCTTCTGTAACAGGGTGACAACCCTGATCATTCTGCAGGAACATTACACAGCAGCGTTGTCACCCTGTACAGGGAAGTCTTAGATAGATTATAAGTAAGACACACAACAAGTAAAGCCCAACTTCAGCTAACGCTTCTACAGCAGTTACAGCAACAGGTTCTCTATAAGGTCCAACCCCCCATATGAATGACAACTGACAGTTGTGAGCACCCCCAGCAGTGTTATAGGATTTGCCCCACCCCTCCAACTGCCATTTTTCCCAAAAGACTTGGCCTTCTACAGGAAGTAGACAAAAAAAATCTACTGGGAGTGACAACAAAAAAATAAAACAATAGGAGACTCAGAAAAACAAAACCTGCTCTGCTAATGACAGATTTCATTATTAATGTCATTTGATTTTGCCCATAGTTACACTTTGGTGCCAACGTTGTAATATTTCCAGGGAGAAGAAGTTTTCTTTACAAACTTTACACCAAAAAGAGATGTGTGCACTCAGAGTGATTATTGTGAACCCCAATCAGAGGAATGTCAGTCCCCCGGAAGAAGTGGTAGGAATATGACCGCACACTCAGCACTTTGTAAGTTCAGATCTCTGGCAGTTGTATTGTGTGATTAGTCTATGGAGAGGAGTAATAGCTGGAAAGAGAAAACATGGAACAAGGATTTCTGATCTTCACCTGATGGAATCCCATTTGGCAGAACCACATGGAACACAAAGTGGCCAGCTGGGCTTACGTTTTACTGCTGCTGAATACATCCCCTAAATCAGCAGTAACTCAGTATTGGAAGGCCTGCATCAGCTTGGGATGTTGTTTTCTCACTGAACAGAGACTTCTTTCTAGCTGGTGTCACAGACACAGACCTGCCTGAAAGGTTGTCACCCATGAGATGATATCCTACAACCTCACAAACACCCCCTTTCCTCTCTATGATCACAATCTCATCACCTTCACAGTCTCCTCATCTTCAAACACTTATCCCTCCAATCAGCAATCACCTGCAGAAACCTTCACAACTTGAACCCTTCTCCTTTCCACTCTGCAAAACTGACCAACTCTATGACAGAATCTCTCCCCTGTCCTGCCCTGACCTGGCCACTGCTGTCTACAACAGTTCACTTTCATCCACATTAGACTCACTTGCTCCCCTAACAACATGAAGCATCAGGCCCCGACCCATTACAACCTTGGCAGACTGACAACACCAGAGATCTTAAACGACATAGTCGTGTGCTGGAGCGAATGTGGCGTAAAACCAAATCTCACCAAGCATTCACCCGATATAAATCTGCTTTCTTAACATACAATTCCTCCCTCCATGCTGCCAAACAAGGTTTCTCAGAAGCCCGTCTCACCACCTGCCCCCTGGATCCTGTCCCCTCACAACTACTACGGTCACCTCTTCTTCCTTCCCTTATCCTATCCCTTGCTCCTCACATCTTCAATCTTTCCATCTCTACTGGTGCCTTCCCCTCCCCTCTAAAGCATGCGCACATCACTCCCATACTTAAAAAGCCCTCCCTGGACCCCACCAACCTGAACAACTTAAGACCCGTCCCCCTGCTCTTGTTTACCTTTAAACTCTTAGAACGCTTAGTCTACAATCGCCTGAGCTCCTAACTCACCAACAACAACCTTCTTGACCCTTTACAGTCTGGCTTTCGCCACCACTACACTCCACTGAAACTGACCCTACTGCCCTACTAAAACTCACTAATGACTCATACTAACCAATGCTAAATCCCAACCAATGGCCACTGCTCCTTACTCTTACTACATGACCTCTCCGCAGCTTTTGATACAGTTGACCATCCCCTCCTCCTCAAAAAACTCCACTCTCTTGGCCTCCAAGACTCCGCTCTCTCCTGGTTCTCCTCCTACCTATCACAGTGCTCCTTCAGCAATACCTTTAACTCTGTCTCCTCCTCTCCACTCCCTCTTTCTGTAGGGGTTCCTCAAGGTTCTGTCCTTGGACCCCTACTCTTCTCCATCTACACCTCCTCCCTCCCTTGGTCACTTGATAAACACCCATGGCTTTAAGTACCATCTCTATCCTGATGACACACAAATCTATCTTTTTTCCTCCTCACCCCTCACCCCTTCAGTCTCTCTCGCATTACTACCCTACTAAGCGACATATCGGCATGGATTTCTCTCCACTTCCTCAAACTCAATCTTTCCAAAACTGAGCTCTTAGTATTCCCCCCAGCCTGTGCCCCCTCCACTGACTTCTCCATCAAGATCAATAACACAATCATCAGTCCCTCCCTCATCATGCCAGGGTGCTAGGTGTAATCCTAGACTCCCATCTGTCCTTTCAGTCCCAAATCCAATCACTGTCCAAATCTTGTAGACTTCACCTCCGCAACATCTCCAAGATACGGCCGTTCTTAACCTCGGAAACCACTAAGCAACTTATTCACTCCCTTGTTATATCTCGCCCTTGACTATTGTAACTCCCTCCTCACTGGCCGACCTCATTGCAGGCTATCCCCTCTTCAGTCTATCATGAATGCTGCTGCCATCATCCACCTTACTTACCGTTCTGTATCAGACACCCCTATCTGCCAATCCCTCCACCCCTCACTGTCAATCCCTCCACTGGCCTCCATTCAGTGTCCTCCACCCCTCCCTCCACTGCTCCATTCAGTGTTCTCCCCCCTCTGCAATCCCTCCACTGGCCTCCATTCAGTGTCCTCTTCAGCCAATCCCTCCACTGGCCTCCATTCAGTGTTCTCCACCCCTCTCTGCCAATCCCTCCACTGGCCTACACCCCCCACTCTGCCAATCCCTCCACTGGCCTCCACTCAGTGTCCTCACCCCTCTCTGCCAATCCCTCCACTGGCTTCACGTTGCCCAATGAATTCAAACCGTCAAAACATTAACAATAACATATAAAGCATTTATAACTCTGCCCCAAATTACATCACCAATCTTGTCTCCAAATATCACCCAAAGGAGCCGTCGGGCTGTTTTTCTCAGCATCCATGACCCTGGGCGCTCTCTTGCTCCCTTGTCTCCTCCCCCCATGCTCGTTTCCAGAGCTTCCCCCATCCTCCTGAACTCTCTACCCCAATTTATCAGACTATTGCATATTCTGCTCACTTTTAGGCGATCTCTGAAAACCTCTCTCTTCAGGGAAGCCTTGATCCTGCCCTCAGCTAATAATGGAATCTTCTACTCTTCCTACCAGTCCATCCCCCAGTTACTACCTTTTGTACCACTAGCTCCTCCCTCCTAGATTGTAAGCTCCGAGGAGCAGGCCTGCCCTCCTATCCCTCTTACCCCCTATTGAACTGTAATTGTTGCTGTATTGTCTCTTTATATTGTAAAGCGCTGAGCAAACTGTTGGTCCCATATAAATCCTATATAATAACTGCTAAGGTAATATCAATGAGAGATGAAATGTGGAAAGAAGGCATTGATAATGGGAGAGGGTGAACACAGGTAATGGGAGGAGTGGACAAGGTGGGTCAGCTGGAGACCTCAAGCCTGGCTGATCATGTATCAATAGTCAGAAGAACCCCTGGAATGGACTCTCCCACTGAGGCTTCAGAGACTTGGTAAGATGACAATAGACCCCATCCTAGTCTCTGGTACTGAGGCAGTGTTGGTCATGTATTACCTCAGGATCCAGAAATGAAGAAAATGCTTGGAAACACAACTCAGTTGGTGAATCATGAAAATTCATTGCATGTTCAAATCAAAGCTCCATAAAAAAGAAAAAGATATAAATCCATGATAACTCTGTTCCCCAAATTGATGCTCACCGATTAAAAAAAAAATCAAAATCAAAAATTTCCTCCCTTCTAGCACGATGTGCTTCTCTTGGACATAAGCACTAAACTCAGTTCCAGATCCAATCCTCTGGACATTCTCTACCCCAGTTTGTATCAGATTTTAGTTTGTTTCTTTTTTAATCTAAAACCTCTTTCAGGGAAGCCCTTCTTCTCTAGCTTGTGGGCTGACATTGGGGATTGAAACTAACTTGTGACCACTCCAACCCCCGCTTTAATATCCTTTTATTCCACAGCTCCTTTAATCTAATGCAGAAATTTGTGATTGTCCTCCGGTGATAGATTGACCGGCATTAACTGTAAAAGTTTTGTCACATTGAGAGCATTAAAAAGGTGGATTCTCTCCAGTGTGAATCCTCTGGTGTTTGAGAAAATTTGATTGTGAGTAAAAGCTTTATCAGAGACTTTCAGAACACTGATATGGCTTTTCTCCAGTGTGAATCCTCTGGTGTTTGAGAGATAAGATTTGACTTCTGAGTAAAAGCTTTAAACACATTCTCAGAACACTGATATATGCATTGCTCTCCAGTGTGAATCCTCTGGTGTGTGATGAGAATCATGAGGAACTTCAGAGTAAAAGATGCTTTGATCACATTCAGATAACAATACTGATATGGCCTTCTCTCCAGTGTGAACAATCCTGGTGTCTGATAAGATCAGTGACTTCTGTGTAAAAGCTTTGTAACATTCAGAACTTTTGATGTGGGAATCTTCCGTCCAGTGTGAAATCATTCTGGTTTTGAAGAGAATCATGGTGTGAAAGATTTGACTTTCTCTGTAAAAGCTTTATCACATTCAGAACACTGATATGGCTTCTCTCCAGTGTGAATCCTCTGGTGTCTGATAAATTTAATCACATGACTTCTGAGTAAAAGCTTTATCACATTCACATTCAGAACACTGATATGACTTCTCTCCAGTGTGAATCCTCTGGTGTGACTTCTGTGATAAGATCACATTCTGACTTCTGTGTGAGTGTGTGAAAAGCTTTATCACATTCAGAACACTGATATGACTTCTCTCCAGTGTGAATCCTCTGGTGTGTGATAAGATGTGACTTCTGAGTAAAAGCTTTATCACATTCAGAACACTGATATGACTTCTCTCCAGTGTGAATCCTCTGGTGTGTGATAAGATGTGACTTCACTGAGTAAAAGCTTTATCACATTCAGAACACTGATATGGCTTCTCTCCAGTGTGAATCCTCTGGTGTCTGATAAGATTTGACTTCTGTGTAAAAGCTTTATCACATTCAGAACACTGATATGACTTCTCTCCAGTGTGAATCCTCTGGTGTCTGGTGTGTGATAAGATGTGACTTCTCCAGTGTAAAAGCTTTATCACATTCAGAGAACACTGATATGGCTTCTCTCCAGTGTGAAATCTTTGGTGTATTATAAGATGTCTCTCTCGCTTATAAAAGTTTTGCCACATCACATTCAGAACAATGATATGGCTTCTCTCTCCATTGCAAGCCTTTTGGTGTGTGATATATTTTCTCTCCATTGTAAAATCTCCAAACAAGTAGTTTGAAATGACTCCTCTTATGTATACTGGGGGTTGGACTTTATTGTAAAGCCATTGTCACTTCCAGAACACTGAAATTACTTTTCTCCTGCTGGATCAATGTGGAAGAGGATCCAAACCATGACTTTTAGAACACAGATATGACTTGTATCCCGTGTGAATCCTCCAGTGAACTGCAGTAAAGACTTTCAGTCAATTAAGACATCCATGTGTTTTATTTTCCATGTGACTCAGCTGTATTCATGAAGACCAAAATGTCCTAAAACCTGGTTCATCAATCTACCTGTAGAGAAAGAAAAAAGAATTGTATATAAAGGGCTACATAAAGTTGCTTTCTATTTTTAATGTTCATTACTAAATATATCTTATGAATAGAAAGAATATGTACAGCATTATCTACAGTATTTTTTTAATCAAATAGATTTTATTAATAAAGTTTATAAGTGCGCACAGTATTCCCAACATTCAGCCCAGACAATGGAGTCATACATTCTCACGTATAGGCAGTTGTGGCACTGTTACAGATCATACAGAACAATAACTTGCTTTGTCTATGGTGTCACTTTTACCTTTTATAAAAATGAACAGAGAAAAGAAGAAACAACCTAGAACAATTCAGCTGTACACGGCAAGTAACTCCCCCCAGTACATACATAGATATCTGACACCGATCAATGAGGCCCGTGTCTCCAGGATCATACCCCAAGTATGGGTCTCCAATGTAGTTGGTCTCAGAGACTCCGCTCTCTCCTGGCTCTCCTCCTATCTATCACAGCGCTCCTTCAGTGTTACCTATAACGCTGCCACATCCCCTTCACTCCCTCTCTCTGTCGGGGTTCCTCAAGGTTCTGTCCTCGGACCCCTCCTCTTCTCCATCTACACTCCTCCCTTGGCCAATTGATAAACTCCCACGGCTTCAACTACCATCTCTATGCCGATGACACACAAATCTATCTCTCTACCCCTCACCTCACCCCCTCAGTCCAATCCAATCGCATCACCAGCCTACTAAGTGACATATCGGACTGGATGTCACTCAACTTCCTCAAACTCAACCTTTCCAAAACTGAGCTTCTAGTATTCCCCCCAACCCGTGCCCCCCCCCCCCCCCCCCCTCCCGACTTCTCCATCAAGATCAACAACACTATTATTAATTATTATACAGTATTTATATAGCGCCAACAGTTTGCTCAGCGCTGTACATTATAATGGGAGACAGTACACAGTGGATGAGTCTGGCTGCAGAATTCAGGATAGACTGAAGTGGGGATAGCCTGTGTTGGGGTAGGCCGGTGAGGAGGGAGTTACAGTAGTCAAGTCGTGATATAATAAGGGAGTGAATGAGTTGCTTTGTAGTTTCTGGAGTTAGGAACGTGCGTATTTTGGAGATGTTACAGAGGTGGAGTCTGTATGAATTTGTCAGCGATTGGACCTGGGGCTGGAAAGACAGATTGGAGTCTAGAATGACACCTAATACTCTGGCTTGCGGGGTGGGACTGATGGTGATGTTGTTGGTCGTGATGAAGAGGTCAGGGGGGGCACGGGCTGGGGGGAAAACTAGGAGCTAGGTTTTGGCAAGGTTTAATTTGAGGAATTGGAGTCTGATATGTCCAGTCTGATATGTCGTTCAGAAGGCTAGTGATTCGGGCGGAGACTGAAGGGGTGAGACGGGGAGTAGAGAGATAGATTTGAGTGTCATCGTCATAGAGATGGTAGTTGAAGCCGTGAGAGTGTATCAGTTGACCAAGGGAGGAGGTGTAGATGGAGAAGAGAAGGGGCCCGAGGACAGAACCTTGAGGGACCCCAACAGAGAGGGGGAGGTGGCAGCATTATAGGTAACACTGAAGGAGCGTTGTGATAGATAGGAAGAGAGCCAGGAGAGAGCGGAGTCTCTGAGGCCAAAAGAGTATAGTTTTTTGAGGAGGAGGGGGTGGTTGACCGTGTCAAAAGCTGCAGAGAGGTTGAGGAGTAGTAGCACTGAGTAGTGGCCATTGGCTTTGGAGGCTAGCAGGTCATTGGTGAGTTTGAGTAGGGCGGTTTCAGTGGAGTGTAGGGGACGGAAGACAGATTGTAGGGGATCAAGGAGGTTGTTGTCGGTGAGGTGGGAACTCAGGTGATTATAGACTAAGCGTTCAAGGAGTTGGGATGTAAATGGCAGCAGGAAGATGGGTCTTAGGTTGTTTAGGTCAGAGGGATCCAGGGAGGGTTTTTAAAGTATGGGAGTGATGTGCGCATTCTTCAGAGGGGAGGGCAATGTGCCAGTAGAGAGGGAAGATTTAAATGTGGGGTGAGGGAGCGTAGGATGGAGGAGGAGGGTGATCGTAGGAGTAGGAGTTGTGTAGGGACAGGGTCAAGGGGGCAGGTGGTAAGGTGAGCTTCAGAGAAGAGCTTAGTGATTTTCAGTCCCACCCCTCATGCCAGGGTACTAGGTGTCATCCTAGACTCCAATCTGTCCTTTCAGCCCCAGGTCCAATCACTGACAAACTCATGTAGACTTCACCTCCGCAACATCTCCAAGATACGCTCGTTCCTAACCTCGTAAACCACTAAGCAACTCATTCACTCCCTTATTATATCGCCTTGACTATTGTAACTCCCTCCTCACTGGCCGACCTCATCGCAGACTATCTCCACTCCAGTTCATCATGAATGCTGCTGCCAGACTCATTCACCTTACTAACCGTTCTGTATCAGCCACCTCTCTGCCAATCCCTCCTGGCCTCCACAGTATCCTCCACCCCTCAGTCCCTCCACTGGCCTCCACCCTCCATCCCTCTCTGCCAATCCCTCCACTGGCTTCCAATTGCCCAGCGGATAAAATTGAAAACACTAACACTGAAGTATAAAGCCGTTCATAACACTGCCCTCAACTACATCACCGACCTTGTCTCTAAATACCACCCAAACCGTACTCTCCACTCCTCGCAAGACCTCCTACTCTCTAGCTCCCTTGTCTCCTCCTCCCCCATGCTCATCTCCAGGATTTCTCACGGGCTTCACCCATCCTCTGGAACTCCCCCCCCCCAAGCTATCAGGCTATCGCCTCCTCTGCTCACTTTTAGGCGCACTCTGAAAACTCATCTCTCAGGGAAGCCTACCCCGACCCCAGCTAACTACTGGAATCCCCTACTCCCCCCAACCACTCCATCCCCCACAGCTAATTACCTCTTGTACCACTATCCCCTCTCTCCTAGATTGTAAGCTCCAAGGAGCAGGGCCCTCTAATCCCTCTTGTACTGAACTGTATTGTTACTGTACTGTCTCCCTCCATAAAGTAAAGAGACCAAGAGGCACACCCGAGGAATATTGAACACCAACATTATAATACTGGTCATATTGTTCCACTTTTTGAATAATTTTGGACATCTCCAAAACATGTGTATCAAATCCCCGACATCAACACTACAATTGGGGTATTAAGGGGAAATCCCTCCTGTCCTAGCTGAACAATTGAGCTGGAGTCCTGAATGATCTATGCAAAAGAAATGACTGAGTTTCTGTGAAGAGGACAGAGAGATGAGAGGTATGGAGGTCACAATCACCTCCCACCACTCTCTCTTAGAGTCAAAAGACTGGAATAAATATATGAGAGATCATGCCTTTCCCCTGGTGCCATCTGAAGCCCATTAACAAGTGTGAGAGTGATGTGAAATCTGTATCTGATGGAAGTAGAAACCGATGGATGGGATCTAATGTGTCTACTAAGTCCCACCTGGTAAGATGTTGAAGTTGGGCAGCTATAAAATAAAGTCTAACATTTGGTATTGCTAGGCCTCCTGGTCTTCACCCATACTGTAGAGTAGTGAGTTTGATTCTAGCTGACGGCTTTTTCTAAATGAGTTCCCCAAACTGGGAGTCTATACTGGAGAACCACTTACGAGGTGTCCACATGGGAGAATTGTGGAGTATACAGTTGAAACTCGAAAAATTAGAATATGGTGCAAAATTTCATTTATTTCAGTGCAGCAACTGAAAAGGTGAAACTAATATATATGAGATAGACTCATTACATGCAAAGCAAGATAGTTCAAGCCGTGATTTGTCATCATTGTGATGATTATGGCTTACAGCTCATGAAAACCCCCAAATCCACAATCTCAGAAAATGAGAATATTGTGAAAAGGTGGAATATTCTCGGCTCAAAGTGTCCCACTCTAATCAGCTCATTCAGCCATAACACCTGCAAAGGGTTCCTGAGCCTTTAAATGGTCTCTTAGTCTGGTTCAGTAGAAATCACAATCATGGGAAAGACATCATCACTGACACCCTCCATAAGGAGGGAAAGCCTCAAAAAGATAATTGCAGAAGAAGGTGGATGTTCCCAAAGTGCTGTATCAAAGCACATTAATAAAAAGTTATGTGGAATTGAAAAGTGTGGAAGAAAAAGGTGCACAAGCAGCAGGGATGACCACAGCCTGGAGAGGATTGGCAGGAAAAGGCCATTCAAAAGTGTTGGGGACTTTAACAAGGAGTGGACTGAGGCTAGAGTCAGTGCATCAAGAGCCACCACACACAGACTGATCCTGGACATTGTCTTGGAAATTCGCTCTAACGAATTTCTCCTTACCGTGAGTACTCGCAGTTGGATGCGCAGAAATCCCCAATAAAGCTGTGCGAATCTCGCTTACCACGACTGCAGCTAAACTACACGATTCCTGCCCTTCCAACTGATTTAACTTCTGTTGAAATGTGGGGGATGGAGCTCCCTATACCCCAGAATGATCACACAACACTCTCAGGATGCTGTTGGAATTCACATAGAGGAAGTTTTCATTCTCACCCTCTGGTTTTATTACAAATACACACACGCCCCCCACATGAATAAAGTCAATCCCCTCCCACAGAACAATGCAATGGGGAGTGCCTATACACAGGATGTACATTCCGATTGGAGCATAGCCTTTCCT